GTCGCTCAAATTGCAAATCTTATTTCGAGTTACAGCACTGTGTAGATGCCCCGCAGAGACCTACTTTGGACCATTATCTTTTCTCTGTGGCAGAAGTCCCACAGACATGGGTGAAAGGATAGGCCATGGATCAAAGTATTATGCAGTCAATTTAAACCCTCTTCAGCATTTGGAAGTATTTTTCAATGTGAGTACTTCTCAGCATCCTTTCCCTGCAGCAACTCTCAGTAACAGTCAGTTATGCAGTTTTAAAGCCAATGCTATAACCAGTTCAGATACTGTTAGTTATGGGGATTTCAGTAAATTCCAGTTGCATGACTAGGTGATAGGGTAATTATGATGATACTCAGCATATGCACTGTATTTAATCTTCAAAACAGTTTGGCTGGCCAATCAGACTATCATGTGTTAACGTAACGACCTTATCTATACTATTGTTGGTATACACAGTAACTAATCCAAATCCTAGTCTAAAGAAGGCCAGAACCATTTTCAAAGATAGGCTTAGAATATGAGAGTTCCCGATGACTCTTTCTGAGTTCAGGGTTGTGCTTTCGTGTGGATGTTTGACCACACTGAATGACCCTCTATGCTTTAAACTAGATATCAGCATTTTTTTTCTAGTGAAATTGAAAAACAGTCTCATTTAATTCAGCCACTAAACCTGCCTCATTAAGCTATAAAAATTCCTGAATCAATTTGTTTCCCCACAGGTAAGGCTAGTTTTTCTGTGGTATATACTCTTTTGGGTACTGATCCTGAAAAGAGTGCTCTGTCATCAGGCCACTGTTCCTACCTGGAACCCATTGCAGGAAAGGGTACATCATGTACCTATTTTCATTTAGGTTTAAACTGACTATTTTTGTAAAGCTTTAACTTTACTAGTGTAGTGGGTTTTTTTTTACTGCATACACTGAACTTTAATATTCTTTGTATAGTAAGGCTGAAGCGGTGAGATGAACTGTGCATGTTCAATGTATGCTTAAATTGCATCTTTTCTTGTAAATTTTCATAGATGTAGATGAAATTTTGCGATGCTGAACATATGTTGTATGATCATGTCATTCAAGACCCTACTGTTTTGCACTGGTATTTGGCAATAACAGTGACAGTTGCAGAGGGGTAGCCATGTTAGTTTGTAACTTAAAAAAACGAGTAGCCCTGCAGCTCCTTAAAGACTAACAAAAATATATGCAGAGTATCATGCATATAAGCTTTCGTGGGCACAACCCACTTTTTCAGATGAGGAGTGGGTTGTGCCCACAAAAGCTCATAATAGTATGTATATATTTTTGTTAGTCTCTAAGGTGCTATAAGACCACTCATTTGTGCAGTGAAAGTTGTGAGAGAATTTTACATCGGACATTTTTGGCTTTTGTGTAATTAAAATTCCAAATCTAATATGCTTTTATGTAAGTGAGTATAATATATGATAGTGTGGGAATGGCAGCTGATAGAAAAAATAAAGCCAGATCTAGCTCAGAGTAGAGTTCCTTGGGACATTGGGCATACCCACTGAAGAGGGATCAGAAAATGACCCTTGTTGGGTACCTTTTAGTTTCATTTATCTATGGCCTATCATTTGACCCACTTTACTTTAAAAACAGTCATATGCTTTTGTGATGGGATTATCCGTACTGGTAAGTATGTGGCAGTACTAGCACATGTTATAGGTTCATTAGTCTGATTTTACTATATTAGCAATCATTCTATTTTATTTTCAAAATATCCAAAGTAACAGATTCAGCCTAAGAGCAAATTGAATACCACCCTATGTGTCTCATTTTTTAGTTTAGAAAGAGAACACCAAAAAGCATCTTTAATTAGTAACTTCTATTTTGCCTTCCCCCCTACCTTAAAGATAACCAGACTACTAGGACTGAAAGTGTCTTAAAGAAATGTGTGCTCAGGAGAGGAGTTCTTTTATACTGAATTTTTATCAGGAAGCAAATGGTTATATATGAGTTATAACCCGCTGGAATACAGGGCTTTATCCTGATAATATTGACACCATTTTTAAGTATAGCAGCATTCTAATGAGCATGCTTAAATATTCGACAGCACACTCAGGATAAGTCTACACTGCGGGAAGTATCCCAAAATAGCTATTCTGCATCTACTGAAGCAGCCCATTATTTCAAAATAGATTTCAAAATAACGTGCAGCTTATTCCGACATCCTAGTAACCCTCATTCTACGAGGGTTAAGGGGAATTTTGGAATAGTGATTTATTTCAAAATTTGGCACTGTGTAGACAGCGCCAAATTATGAAATAAGCTATTTCAAAATACACTTGAAATAAGCTAAGCAATTTGCATAGCACAAATTGTATATCTTACTTTGAGCTAAGGGTGTTGTATAGATGCACCCTCAGTGTGTGCTTTTCAACTTTCGTGTATATAATCTAGTTTTATTTACTTGGAATTCTCTGAGTGAATTCCATGAGACACCTGATCCAAGGGGCTTAAACTTTTACAAATTACTATTCTCAGTTTTAAAAGTAAATTTTACACCAGATTAGGGATGTGATAGTATTAATGTGTAAAGTAGCCTGGGCTAATCAGTTAACCATCACAGTATGTGGGGAGGAGAGGGGAGATAGAGGTGTACAGATACAGAGTTAATGGCATGGGGCAGGGGATAGGTGGCTTCATGGGAGCCGGACATGAAGGGAGCTGCCTTCCTCTCCATGTGTAAGCAGTTACCCATTTACCTGAGTAAAAACATTTTAACATCCTTGCACAGACATTCTGTGACATAAAAAAAACATGAGCAGATTTCTTCATTCATGGTCTTGTTCATTTCCTGACACACTGGAGCATACCTGGGTATGATTCAGTCTTTATCAAAATTCTCAGAATCCATCATGTAAGGGTTGGAAATGCACATTGTGTTTGCAAACCAAGAAATACTGCCTGTTGCAATTACTCGCTTCTAAATACCAGTAACTAGAAATCAGTATGAAAATTGCTATGAGGGTTTGAAACAGCCATTTATAAAATAAAATACTCCATTGAGTACAAGTCAGATTGCTTGCATGTTTTGTATTTTCTTTTGGTTGGCTCATGTGGCACAATATGTGAAAGGTGTACATGTAGTAGGCAATCCCATAGGAGATTGGACACTGCCCAATTACAAAAAAGAAGCAGTGAATTACACTGCCAGTGCTAGGCCTTGTCTCCACTTCCCAGGAGATCAATGCTGTGGAGATTGATTTCCTGGAGTTTGATTTAGCGGGTCTAGTAAAGCCCTGCTAAATTGATCGTTGTTCATGTCCCCATCAACTCCAGTAGTCCAGTAAGGGAAGTCAACAGGAGAGTTTCTCACTTTAACTTCCCACAGTGGGGAGGGACCCTGCAGAAATTTGAATTAAGGTATGTTGACTTCAGCTACACTATTCACATAGCTGGAGTTGCGTATCTTAGTTCAGCTTTGTCCCTAGTATAGACCTGGCCCTAGTCATATGCATTGCAATATCAACTGGTGCTTTTGTTTTCTTCATGAAATCAGTTGAAGTACTAAATATATTAGAAATGTTTAGCCAGGAGTGGGAGAGCAGAATGCTGGGATAATAAAATTAGAGCTGGCTACTGCAAACTATACAGCATTCTTTTATACTTCACTGTTAAATAATAATTCCTTTCCGTACAAATAATTGCCACAGCTATTTCCCTACTTAACACAGGAAGAGGGTGTGCACTGCTAATTTAGCAATTGAACTCATATTTTTAAGATATTATTATTCGAACATCTAAGACTAGAAAGAAAAAAAGAGAAAGTTATTTTTCCTTCAATTTTTGGTTAGTGAATTTGACAACATTTTAATGTATAGTCAGTTTCACTGTTTCCCCTGAACAATCAGACAGTTAGTTTCCACCTCTTGTTTGTGTGATTCTTTCATAGAGCAATTGGGGAAGAGAAAAACATTTGCAAAAATAGGAAAATGTGCTTGTAAAGCCTTGAACACTGACAAGGGTCTTGAGCAGATGTAACGCCTGAAACTACTTTAATTCGTTTTAAAAAGCTAACTACATTTTGAGTTGATTGCATATTGATAACAAAATACAATCATTGGGGAGGGGAATATATTTATTTATTTGCTTTGCTCTTCTGGCCTGTTTCTTAAAAGAGATTTGCAACAGAGATTTTAAACAGTTTTTTTCCCTCCATAAGTAACTGCACTATTTGTAAAATCAAAAGGATTCCTGTCACACAGATTTATATCTAACGACTCCCTGCCTCCTCATTGTCACCTGAGAGGTTGCATATTGTCTTTGATTGTTGAATTACTTAAATAATCAAATCAGTTAATGTGTACTTTTTATCATGTACTGCATTTGAGAGTATTGCTGGGGAGGATGCATATATTTTCAGAAGTGCCTAAAAAGCCTAACTTGCATTTTCAAAAGGGACTTGGATATCAGGAGTCTTATCCTCATTAAAAGTCAGTGGGGCTTAGTCCATTCTTTAAAACAGGAGTAGAGACCCCCGGGGGCCAAATGTGGCATTGGGAAGCTGGTGTTGGTGCTCCAGCCCTTCCCCTCTCTCCCTCTGCTGTCCCACTGTGAAGCTAGAGTACACTAAATCTACTAGTCTGGGTCCCCCTACACTCTGGCGTGTGAGCGGAATGTAGGGAGTGTCTTTCTCCTCCTCAGTAAGGGGCCACATAAGGTGTTGGGTTTTTTTTGCTTCTCATTTGTGTGCAGTCCCTGACTGATTTTTGCTGAGTGAGAAATATAAATGGTATCTAATATAACAAATGGTTATAGAGAAATGCACTAGAGAAAGATAATTATTGAATTTTTACCCTACTAAGATTTTGTTTTTTTCTTCATAAGTTGATGCTATCTGTGTGGCTTGAGGGAATTACACTAATATTAGAACACTATTGGGAGCTTTCCAAATAGCTGTCTGGAGGAATTTACAATAAATGATGCATTTCCACTGGACTACTAGCAAAGATGGTGTATAAATGTTCCATTTTATTTTTTCTGTTTCAGGAAGCTCGTTTTACTCACTGAAGCATTAAACTGATAGCATCACACAGTTGTGTGGGAGAGAAGGGGATTTTGTACTTCAGTGTAACTCTTGGGTCTTGAGAAGTTAAAGAATCTGGATGAATTCCTACTGAATGGAGATTATTTCAAAAGGTCCCTGAGAACCCTCTGTCCACGGCTCCTGCTCTTGCTGAGTTGAAACGGTGCATTTTCAAGTGCAATTTGAGACAATGCTGGATTCAATCAAATGTGTGTTGGTGGGAGATGCTGCCGTGGGGAAAACATCACTCTTGGTACGTTTCACCTCTGAGACTTTTCCAGATGCCTACAAGCCCACAGTGTATGAAAACACAGGGGTGGATGTCTTCATGGATGGTGTTCAGATTAGCCTAGGCCTTTGGGACACAGCGGGCAGTGATGCATTCAGAGGCATCCGCCCCATCTCATACCAACAGGCTGATGTGGTGTTAATGTGTTATTCAGTGGCCAACCACAACTCCTTTTTAAACCTGAGGAATAAATGGATTGGTGAGATCAGAAACCATTTGCCCCGAACCCCGGTTTTAGTGGTGGCCACTCAGACTGACCAGCGGGAAACAGGACCCCATCATTTATCCTGCATCAGCTCAGTTGATGGGAAGCGGTTGGCCCGAGAAGTCCGAGCTAAAGGCTACTTGGAGTGTTCTTCTCTCAGCAACAGGGGAGTGCAGCAGGTGTTTGAGTACGCTGTCCGAACCGCAGTCAATCAAGCCCGAAAACAGAAGAGGAGGAAACTCTTCTCCGTTAACGAATGCAGGATCTTTTGAAGTCTCTTATTTACCCTACTAGTTGTATTACTTCTTCTCTTGCCCAGAGGTCGGTCAACATAGAAAATGGAAGGCAAGCCAAGAAAGGGCCTCTGATAGGATCACCATGCTAGTGTTTCTGATGGGCCAGATGTGAGCTTTCTATGTGAGCTGGCTTTTCCTTTCCATGAATAATGCCTTTGAACATGAAAAGTACAGCTAACTCTCCTTTCCCCAAAAAACTGTAAATGAACTATTTTACTCTAGGCTGCCAGATCATAGATGACTGGAATGAGCCTGAACTGGTGATTTATGGATAATACCTATGTTCTTTAATTTTTCATTTCTGTTGTTGGTTTATTTGTCCTCATTTATTTAACGAAAGAAAGCCTCCGCTTTGGCTGAAATCCCTGTTGACATAACTTCCCATGCTGAATTCTGACTCTTAAGAATTTTGTACATAAAACCTGAACAGTGTCTATTTAATTTAAAAAGGTAGCTGTACATTTTGTTTTAAACTCTTCTAATATGGTTTGTTTTCATATTTCGGAAGTTCTTCCTCTAGCTAACCACAAATGCAACCTGTCATATCTGTGAAATAGTCTCATAGGGTCAAACCCTTGCAGTTCTTAGTCAGGTAAAACCCCCAATGGAGTATGTTAGCAATGGGAATAAAGGCTGGAATACGCAGGGGGCCATTAATAGAAAAGAACCTTTCACCTCTGCTTGTTCAAATTCATCTTCCACAGTCTAGAAGTGATGAAAAAATGATAGTTGATCTCTGTCTTATGTAACATTTATTTTATAGTCTCAGCTCAGTTCCCAGCAGACAGGTGGCTACATCAGAAAACCTGCCATATTTGGCATTTGGTGTCTCTCAGCAAAGGGGCCAAAGACTGAATGGGACAGAAGACTGACATGCTCCCTCATCCCTAAAGGTGCTGGCTCCTAGACAGAGATTTTAGGACCACGAGTGAGAGAGTGCAGGGAAGCTCATACTGTCGTGCTTTGTGCTGTTGTATTCTGTTGGCAGAAGATTTCAGTCTCCAGGGATGACAGACATTTTCTTGAGCACTAAAATTCTCTCTCCATTTTTTTAATGAACATTTTTATGAACAGAGGTTTTGTTGAAACCGATAATCTAATATATTAAGGCTAATATGCAGTGATGCTGAATTGGTGTCAGTTGAATCAATAACAATCTCTGGAGCTGGTGTGCTAAATGTAATTACTTTGGATTTTTGCAGAATAGAATTAAATACCCTTTACCTACTTGAGGAAACAATATTTAGGGTCAAATCCTCGGGACTAGGTTATTCCCCCAAACAGAAAACTTACATATGGGTTTGTATGGGATAATTGTATTGGGGTTGAGGGTGGGTTATTATTTATATGGAGCTCAGAAGCATACTAGGTGCCCTCTAGAACAATTTAAGACCTTACACAGTGAGTGGCAAATAACAGAATGGGAATTGAGGGTTGAAGGAGGAAGGGTTACATAAAGAGATCCTATGTTACTTAATTTTGGTATCAGGTAATATACAAGCAATTGAGTTTGCTTGTATTGTAGCTAAGTAGGAGCAATGGGCAATCACACATTGTGGTTTAAATTGTGACTTCAAAGGGACCATTCCTATGAATAAAGTTACTACTGTGAGCAAATGTTTCCAGATAGGCTCTTGAACTATAAATGTGCACAAAACATTTGAAGTATTTATTATACCAAAGTCCCAAGCTGGTAAACACATATTTTTCTACTTTAAAATTGCCAGTGTTATTCCAAGGGAGACCTTTCATTACAAACAAGTACTGGAGTAATTTATCTTGTTTTAATTCTTTCAAACTCAGTATAAGCTTTCCCAGCTTACATTTATTCCTCTCAAGTTCAATCACCTCTGCCTGCAAAATTTTAGTCACAGAATGCAAACATATTGCCCACAGAAACACTAAAAACTAGTTTATTGGTAAATGAATTTGAACCCAGTGGAACTCCTCACACTAGTTACATTGTTCAGATGCACAGATGTTTGCAGGATGAGGTCCATGATGAAAACTCTTTAGCCTTGGGAATCACTGTGGGTCCCCCCCTCCCGTTTTTAAAATCTTATATTCTTTCATTACTGAAAACTGTTTTCTGTAACCCTAACTAAGATTAACAATTGTTAATATCACGAACATTAAAAAATGACTGCAAAAGCATGAGTCATATTGTAAATCTTCTCACTCTATTTATTTATCACCAGAGTAACTAATGTCTACCTGACTTTCTTAACCAATTATCTTTTTCTGGATTTTTTTTAAACAGGTACTAACAAACTATCTTATTTTCTTTGGTTCAGTTTGATCAAAACTACCTTTATAGTGATGATTTTATGTACTGTAAAATAATAAGTGTTATGCCAACAGCACCTGTGGTGATTATCAGCTAAATGATGCTATGATTGCTGGTTACCAAGATGTCCCAAATAATTAGCTTTACAGGCAGTCCCCGGGTTATGTACAAGATAGGGACTGTAGGTTTGTTCTTAAGTTGAATCTGTATGTAAGTCGGAACTGGCGTCAGCCGCTGCTGAAACTGATCAGTTTCAACTGCGGCTGAATCTGGATGCCAGTTCTGACTTACATACAGATTCAACTTCAGAAACCCAGGCGTCCCCAAGTCAGCTGCTGCTGAAACTGATCAGCGGCTGATTCCAGGAAGCCTGGGGCAGAGCAACTCTGCCTCGGGCTCGGGGAGCAAAGCCTTGGAGCACGCCTGCAGCGGGACAGCCCAGGCGCGCCTGGGCTGCCCCGCAGCCCCAGCCCCTCTGCGGCTTTGCTCCGCGTCTTCCTGGTCTGCAGACCAGGGAGACGCGGAGCAGCGTTTCTCCGCCCCGGC